TACACGTACATTAGAATAGATACCCAACTTGAATGTACAGGAATTGAAAATATTGTGTACTGTTAGTTTAAGAAATTGGGTATTATGTATATATATATATATATATATATATACACGTACATTAGAATAGATACCCAACTATCTTGTTCCTGATGGAAATTTTGTCTCTGGGGTTTGCTCTCGTCCCTTGGATCAATGTCTTTCATATTTTATTGAACTCTGGACACTTTGATCGACTGAAATTTCGCGTGGTCCGGTTTACTCTTCGTGTTCTATTAATTCGCTTTCTCGTTTTCGTATATCTTCGTTTACGTTCGAAACTACCCGGTAGGTGGTCCGCGTCGATCGTGAAGCTTTCTGTCTGCTTACACGGCAGACGTGAGATTTATTTTACTTAATCCGAAATCAAGGTTGCGTGTTTGATCCATGTCGAAAGGCGATTTCCTTGGCGCATAAAAATAAAATAATTTCAAATAAGAATGACATTTTGAAAATCCCGCTCTTTCGACAATACCAAAAATGTATTAGTTTTGTATATTTTATTTTTTTTGTTCATCAAAAATCCCCTAGTCATTTCCAAAACGATGTCGTTTATTGCAATAGAGGTGAAGCACTACTGATTTAATGTAAAATAAAAAATTTGTGATTTTCAAAATTCATTATTAAGATCTTAGAATAGCAAGAACGTTATTGATTTAACAAATCATTTATCAAGATTATTTGGATTACATGTTTTGGTTGATTTTCCAATTAAAATTTCAATTAGATCCTGGTTAGGTTAGTCAGATTACGAAAATCTATTATCGAAGATACAATTGAACTCGATGGACAATATGAATTTTCAAAAAAATACTCAAAAATATTCACATCTCTAGTATACTACCTTATAACGCAATTCCGTCAGTGATGCCAACTCTCCTTGCAAAAGCATTGAAAAATTCCCAAGTGGTCGCGATTCCATATCGTCAAATACACTGGTGACCTTACTTATCATTCTTGTACGTACGTTTCTATCTACACGTATCCACAAGGTCTACATTGCTTCCTATATGTTCCTATTGCAAATACGTGGAACAAGCTTGGCAGATGGCCAACCTGCTGAACGTAAAATAACTCTGGCTGTTTGTAATAGGTTGGTAGATACGATAGTGGCAACGGCATAATTTCCTTTATGCCGAAAGAAAAAACAATAGACCCGGGTAAAACGTTCTCAAAGATCAATATGATAAATAAATATAATCCAAAATCCATCGACTTTCACAAAAATCAAAATTATTAATAATAGATAAAAATTGTGTATTCTTACCAAAGAATCGATGCGAATCAAGTCACTCAGTTCACTTCTACCTCTTTTTTGAAAAGTAATAATAAATAATGCTTTCAATATGACGAGTAAGTCTCTTTAGTAACTGTTCCATACGGTGGTCAAGAAGTAACTGAAGGCTTCTGAGTCTATGACCTAACCTAACCTATGACGACGCCTCGAACGTAGCTGTTTGTTGACATTATCCTGTGACAGGATTCGCCTGAAGTTATCATAATTTGCGCCAGTCATTTTTTTTCGTCACCCTATATAAATAAACTTCAATATAAATTTATGACTGTGATTTGAAAGGATTCAAGAATTTTACCTATATATATACTAGTAGATTCTCAAGAACTACATACGTATATATAAATATACAGTTGCCGTAAGACCCTGTAGAATCTCAACCCTGAGAGTCTATGGAGTTAATAAAAGGCGAAGCTACGGTTCGTTACCTTTAATGAAACAGCCGCGCCATGGGAGACGGCGGGAGACTCAAGTTTAAGAAGGTCGAGAAAGCAAGAGGAGTCGTAAAGGGAATACCCAACTTTGTTTCCACATTGAAAGATTCCTTGAGATCGGCTCTGGATGGCTAAAAACAAAGGAATGCATAAATAAAGAGTGGATACGGTATAAAAATATACATATACAAAATTATATACCTTATTACTGGTAACTATTCCGGCCATTTTATATTCAGAAGGAAATATCATTTATCGAAATAAATCAATACTGCCAACATCATAGCCATGTTCAACCAACCGATTAGAATTTCCCCATTTCCTTTGTTCTCAAGCTCAATATTTTACGCTCGTTCCACCTTATTCTTTCCTCCGCCATTTTTTTTTTCGAAACTTTCCTTCTTTTTAGTATCTGCTCGTAAAAAGCACTCTGTCACGTCAGGTGTGCTACTTTTGGATCATGATCCCTATAAATTCCTTATCGTTATCCTAGGATACCATAACCTAACCCGGTAATGGTTAATTCCAAAAATCCTTATTTGACCGAATTTTAAAAAAATTTCCAATTCCCATTACTTACAAATTCTGCTTTTCCGTCTCTCCAAACCTTACTTTCTATCGCTTTCGATAAATATAAAAATCGACCCCTCATAAGTTAAAGCTGGTCAGTAGCCACAAAATTTTTTTTTTTTGTAAATTCAACATTTCGTTCAATGGGAACCCCTTGAATTATTACTGGGACCCCTCAAAAAATATTATTTTAGATGAAATCAGCCTCTTTGGTCCAGATCGTAACAGCCGTAGCCATCAGCTAAGTCAGTTGGACCATTTTATGAACGTAATAACAAATTGATTAAATCGAAAAATTTGTATAGCAAGCGACGAGGTTTGAAACCAGCTAATAACAATGACACTTGTATCACGCAATATCATATAACGGGTGGTCGAAGTAAATTTTATTCCATATATAAATTAAAAAATTATTTTCTCTCATCCTAAGTCGACGATTGATACTAACGATCGTGCGAGTTCACTAAGTTTCATGATGGCTGACAGTCACCATAGCGATATAAATTATAATAATGCAGCATGTCGACGGAGGTTAAATCGAGTTGACACTCCTCAATTAATCACCCCTCGTAATATCAGTGCACGTCACACGCTCACATCCTTATCAGTCCATAACAACAGTGCTGGATATAACTGACTCCTTAATTTGCTTCAATACGCCAAAAGTTTTTGATTTATCAAATTTTTCTTTTTTCACTAATAAATTTATTAGTCAAATTTCTTACCTATACCAGTGTTGCCTTTGGCAGAAATATCAAATTAATTATTTTACTCGTATACGTTATTGTTATCGTAAAGGATATATATATATTTCGCAGAGTATACCAAACTGAAATAAATACGTATAAATTGCAGGTTGTCAGATTATAACGTGCGTCTTTAAGGGAGCTACTATGAACGATCGAAGAAATTGATGAGTGATCGTTTGTTGATCGATTTGCTGAGTTGGTGAAAATAAAAGTTCGCCTTGAGTGGGTTTGGCGGTACGAGGGGACGAAGGAAAAAAATGTACTGGCGGAGAAGGAACAGCCATAGGAAGTTGGCAGGACTGGGCCAATCTATCCACAGCAGTAAACAGCCATTTTTATGGGCTATAAAGCAATATCGAAAGATTTGCAGGTTGAGTTAGTTTCAATATAGAAGGCATGGGCTCTCTTGGGGCAGATGGCGTCCCGACGCGTTGAGAGGTTACGCCAGGCAGCCATACCAGTCGAGTTGACAGATTGGCTGGCGGTCGTAGGACTTGGATAAATCTTGAAATCGAGTAGCTTTACGTTTTTCAATTTTTTTTATGTTTGTATGTTATCGTTTTTTTTTTTTTTCATTTTTATACCTCCGTCACTTCCGCTACTTTTCCCGAAGTCCATTTGGCTTCCTGATCCCTGGGGTGCTGGTATCAAACTTTTTTCAGAAAATCGGGTAGGTTAGGGAGGATTTAATAAAATAGATATTTCTATAAGTGACTTTCGGTTTGATATGGCAGCTTCTGTATCGAGCGTGTTTAACGGTTTTTATTTTGAAAATTTTACTTTGGTCTATTTCGAAAATGACTGTTGGTTGTCAAGATTTTTTTTGATACTGAAATACTGTTTGTTGCTTTTGATAGTATTTTCATTTTGCTTTTCGCAATCTGTGACGTAAGCACGAGCACGTGCCTCGTGATGATGCCAAAATAGTTTAGGTGTATTCGAGTCCTGGTCAATGTACTACAACACAGTCCTTAGAATCGAATTTTCTATTAATGACCATAGTCAATAGTATATACATAACACTAGTGAGATTTTGAATTGGACGAGCACATTAGTCGAATAATAGAAATATGTCTGTTTTCAAATTTCAGGAAATATATAGACAAAATTGCTGGGATATGCTTGAACTTATCATTTCCGGTACATTATTTCGCTCCTGTCCCTCAAAATTGCCACTTTGGTGGTCTTCACGCGGGGCGGTAACCCTAATTCTATTATCCATGAGCGTAAAAAATGATCCTTTAGGGGATCATTTAAGGGAGTTGATCCGTCAGAAATAAAGAACAAAAAAATAATAAAAAGAAAATAGCTACTTTCACGGCTTGTCTGCAGCGAAACTCGTAAATCAAGAGAGGGTTCGTTCCGTGACGTCAGATGGTTGACGTCATAAATACAGATGTACTTTATTCCAGTGGATATAGGAATAGTAACACGTGTTTTCCGTAAAGTACCGAAGAAGTACATCGAAATATGAATAAGAATACTGGGTGTTCGAGAAACAACTATATATGGATCTTTGTTGGAATCTTTGTTATCAGATATTTCGTGATTTTGATTTTCAAAGTGAAAACTGCTTAAATACATATTATTTTATTTTTTTATAAGGAATCTAACTGCCCTATTCAAATGCGGTCTTACAAGGACATGCTGTATACCTGATAGTGACTTCAGTCATTTTAATAATTCGTGACAGTCTCGTTGTGATCACTGGCATTCGATGATCTCGTGTCATTTTCTAACGGATGTTGAAAAGCTTCTTTTTATCGATGCCACCCGGTATAGCATGTACCAGAGAAACAGAAAGGTTATTACTCTCGGGCAGGTCGACTATTTTCGTCCAACGGCAACTTGCCAAACTTTATGTTAATTAAACGGATTATCATTTTATTGTCGTTTCTTTGTTTTTCACATAGCGACGCCATTCGTCGCGACGCTATATGTCACTGGCTTGCGTCATGTTGGCTAAAGAACAATAGAAATTTCTTTTGTAATTTAACGTAACTGTTAAAAGTCTTTCAAAAATATAAAAACACGACACTTCCACATAGTTAATTGCATTTGAATGGATAAGCTGCATGCATAAATGTAATATTGAATTCTTTCGATCAAATAAAACGAAAATTTCTCAATCGTTCAAAAATATTCAATACATAATCAAATTCTTTTTTTTTAATTTACATTATATTGTGGTCAGGCTTCTTAATATATGTTTCAATATCAATTTTCGAATTCTTTGTAATTTTTTGTATACCCTAACAGGACATTTGGAAATTGAAGATGCGCTCTCACTGTTTTACAACTCTCAATGCATATCCAGTGCAATGCATTTCTTGATTCATGTTTTATTCTCAGCATGCTTGTACCATGAGAACCTACCTTTATGTTCTACTTGAGCGACAATGACATTTTCATTCAGGACATTTCAGACTCTGCTGGCTACAATAGCGAGCTAGGTGTGCGATAAGATTTTAGAATTTTTCTTTTTCATCATGACTGTACTGGCGGTTGTACATTTTTAATCGTGACCTTTGAACCGTGTTTCAGGTGCCATGGAGCAAACGCGAACGTGAGAATTCATATAGCTCGACAAAATCCGATTCATCCACACAGGTTCGTTTTGATAATTTTATGACAATTTTGAAAAGTGAAATAATGAAAAAAAAAATTTTGTCCTAAAACAACATTGCTTATCGCTACTTACTCGGATCATTTATTATCATTGACTTGATTCACGTAGCAGTAAATGATTTCTCTAACGATCTTCGCCACTTGGCATGTTATCACACGTGCCGAGTCGTCGCCAAAGGACAAGAATTCACTAGTGACTCTGTCGACAGAAATTCGAGACCCGGAAGCAAAGGGTTGTGAAGTGCAATAAAAACTTGGTCATTCTCCAAAATTTCATTAAGTTTCATTAACCAACGAACAAAATTTTCATCACGAACATTTAACTTTTTGCAGTGTATATTTCTAATTTTAAATACAAAAATCCCCAAAAAAGTGAAATCACATCAAAGAATTGATTTTCATTATATTTCATTCAAGTATCATAACTTTCGAAAAACGAATGACGAAATCGTGGAGAAAAAAATTATTATTGATGCATCATATTATCTAAATTCAAAAATACGTGTAAAAGAAGATAGAGCCAAGAAGATATATTCAGCGAAGACGTATGGTCCAGAAGTTCGTAACTTTGAGAATGGGACAAGATCTTCTTCAATAATGTCCTAAATTATATTCGAAATAACGTAGAATATATATGTACATATAAGTATAGTAATACGATTGGGCGCGTTTTGAATTCGCAGAATGACACGAGCTACAGACCCAGGACTGTAGTTGGCGTAAGTACGTCAAATTTTAGTCGCAACACCGGAAGCGGAAGTGGCGTACCAAGTTACAGAAGTTACTCCAGCGTTGGCTCGAGCGCTAATCGAGTCGCTGCGAAGGATAGAAACGTCGCCACTTATGGATCCGCCTATAACAAAGGAGACAGGAGCAAGTTGGATGAAAAATCTTCGACCACTTACAAGTATTCCAGTGAGTAGTAGGTACATTAAAATTGATAGTTATAATTAATTAACATGCATAAAACTGTACTTACCGTAGGTGCCAAAGAACCAGAGAAAAGTAGACTGCATACCGGAAGGACGTCATCGGAAGATCTGAGATCGAAGAGTCCTTTGTCCGGATGTAGGTCGTCGCTTTTGGAAAAATATTCTTATCGGGATACCGGTAAATCAAACGAGAGATCATCCTCCCTTCTTGATAAGTACAGTCGGGATTCTTCGCGCGAGAAAAGCCGCGAACCGGAAGTCATCTCACGATATGGTTCGAGTACTTACCCTGGTTCCGGTCTTAGTAGAAGTTACGGAAGTGACGTACGTAATGAAAAAAAAGAGAGGAGCGAACATCCTCCTGTCTCTTATAGAGGATTACGCCCGACTTCGGGGCGAAGTTCTCGTGAGCCTAGCCCGGAAGTCTCCAGTGGGAAGACCGGTTCTTCTAGAATGTATTCCAGGACGCCATCTTACAGTCGAGCAGGAACCTGTGAGTATTAATTGTTATCAATTTGGTATGAGCTGTATTTTCAAATATAAATTAGTATCATTATAGAATTTTTACAAATTTTTTTTTCAGCTGCACCGGAAACCATCTCAACTCCAGTTTCTTCAAGATACGGAAGCGCCGCTTCTAGATACAGCACAGTATCTGCTAGAAGTAGTACCGATCGTACACCTACTGCTATAAGTTATTCGGGTTCGGATAGATTTCGATCGTCAACAAATAAACCAGTTATCATCACTTCGTGCGCTGACGAAGATGCACGAAGTTCCACGAAGTCTGAAAAGGACACTCGTAACGAGTCCATGCGAAAAAGTGAAGAAGCGGAGTCAAAGGTTGAGACAATTTCTGATAACGAGGACGAGGATTATGAGGAAGTTGATGATAAAGTTGAAGAACTTGTGACGGTGACAGTTGTAACGCGCGGAACCTCACCGACGCCACCGGCGTCCTCGACCTACGTCAGGACGCGTCGCGCCGACTCTGCCAGGGTCTTACAGAAAGAGGTCACCAGGTCACGAAATAAACCGGAAACAAAAGACGAGGAAATTCAATCGGACCGAATGGACGATACAGCAAGATACTCAAGATACGGAAGTGGCGCTAGGGTCGCTGCTAGTCCTTGGACGTCGTATTTAGACAAATACACACCAGGCGGCGCTGCGTACTGTTCTCGAACTTACAATTCGAGTAACAATACTTCGTCGACATCCAGCCGAGTTGGTTTTGGATACTCTCGTTCTAACGAAAGTCCCACTTTATCGAGAGTCGAATCAACTTCGAAAATGTCTCCTGGTTCGAGTCAGGAAGTTGTTGCAACTTCAAAAATCCAAAATGATCAAAGTGGCAAAGTACAAAGTAACGACCAATATCCGTGCAGTGTCACGAAGACTGATGTAACCACGGAGCTCAATTCTAGTCCTAATTGTGATAGCCGTGAAGTGTCACCCGGTGCACAACAAAACTTCATGCCAAAAACAAACGGGAAGAGTCATTTGCCTGGTAGACATGAAGCGGATGACAATAGTCAAAGAAGAGGCTCGATACCAAGACTTGGTAGGGCTTCGCCAAAGAGCGAAGTGAAGTTGTCAAGGTCATCCTCCAAAGGTGAGTTCTCTGGGAGACTTCCGGAAACATGTCAAAGAAGAGGCTCTACCCCAAAGTCCGATAGTTCAAGTTCGACCCGAGTCGACGAGGTACCGGAAGTCTGTCAAAGACGCGATGCTTCGCAAAAGCGGGAAAGTTCAATACCTAGGAAAGATTCTCTACAAAGGTCTGACAGTAATTCGTCGCAGGGCGCTAAATCGATATCGCGAAATAATTCAGGTAAGAATATAACACGTCAGATTTCGCGCACGGATTCGTCAGACGGTTCTGTTGCCGTGCCAAGTAACAGATCCAAATCGTCGTCGGCTAGTTCGATGACGAATCCAAGTACGAAAATAAAGAGCGCCCCGACGCCAACGTCACCTGGAAAGTGTTGTGCCACTTCGGGGACTTCAGTAAACATGAGGCAAGGAACGTCGCCAGACGGTGGTGCGCGTGGAAAACCGCCGGTGCCGAAGAGCGACAGTGGCGCCATGTTGAAAAGCGGTAATATGGGAAAGTACGTGAACAAGGACTTTCGTAAATCTGCGCTCAACATGGACAATGGTGACGGTACAAGAACGAAGTTAGACCGGAAGCATGGAAAGAGTCAGAGAAGTGTCTCTGTTAGTTCACAAGATTCACAATCGGAAGCGAATTCAGAACCATTAATGCAGGTAGCGTCATCCGGATCATCAGGTTCCATAAAATCGAATCATTCAATCTCCAAATTGAAGGTGCCATCTGGTATTTCAAAAACGCTCTCGAACAAAATGGACTCACCACCTCGTAGAAAGAGTCCATCGGTTTTGAGGTTGGATCCGAAGAAGTCTAGGAGCGTTTCCGGTTCACCGTCTAGAAAGAAAAAATTATCTAGGACACCTAGTTCTTCGTCGGATAGCAGCGAGTCTAGTTCCAGTAGTTCCACTAGTAGCGATGACGACGAAGAACCTCAGAGACCAGGGTCCAGGCGACATAGAAGACATACTTCAAATTCTCCACTTCAGGATAAACGAGGGAAGAGCAGCGCTGGATCTTCCAGGACCAGTGTCCTGGCGTCATCTACAGATGAATTATCATTGAATATTGACAAGCCACCCAGACCACCTTCCAGCCCAAGATCACGTAGCGACCGTTCAGGAAAAACTGAGGAAGCCAAATCATTCCTGATGAGAGCATTGGCACCGGTGACCAACCTGTTCAAAACAAAGCAGCAGGAGTCTACAGAGTCAAGATCAGGATGGCCTGAGTCAACTGACGAGACATCCGAACCTCCAAAGAAATCAGGTCAATCATTGTCCAAGTCAATTACCCAAAGTCTGTCGAAGAGTCTGAGTTTCACCAACTCGGACAAGAGTGAGAAGCGGAAGAGCAATAAGATAAAGCATCAGTCTTCCGGTGAGAAAGCCTGGTGGATGGATTCGAATCCTGAAAACGTTCCTGAAGGTATCATCAAGGGTAGCATATCGAATGATGACATCACCCAGGATACAACCATCAGTACAGTGCTGCCTGATGACGGTAAGATTTCTTTTAATGACAAACTCGAGTCCTAATTCAATTTGTATTTCTCGATAATTATTTTAATCTATTTTTTTTGTCTTTTAGGTAAATTCAAGTTCAAGGTATGGCGGCAGGAGTCTGGCGAAAGAGCCTGGTGGTTGGACGCCAATGAGAACATTCCCGAAGAGCCCAGAAAAGAGTCGAATTCGAGTTCGTCGTCATCGAAAAAAAATTCGAATCGAAGTAGTACCAAATCTGAGAAAAAAAATAGACTGAAACATCAACAATCGGGCGAAAGAGCCTGGTGGATGAGTGATGATCCCGAAAGCGTTCCAGAGGGTGTCGAAGTACTATCCCCACCAGCAACAGCAATAACAACAGCGATACCAACAGAAAATAATGAACCTGTCAAATTTGACGAAGTCGAAACAGAATATTCGAGAGCAACCCTCCACAAGATTCGTCATATCGATTCCGGCGAAAAACCATGGTGGATGGACAGTAGCTCCAACGTGCCAGAAGGGGTCGAAAAAATATCCACGGAATTGTCAAAAAGCAATTCAGATTCCTCGGAATCGCTCGAGAGACTCGAGATCGGCTCACCCGTTCTTCAATCTGGGGAATTTCGAATGAAACGAAGTCTATCGCGATTTCCGATCGAATTTCCCCCACCGCCGCCCCCGGAAGAACCACTTGGAGATCGTGCCAGTCCCGAAGGGGTAAGAATCCCATTTCCGTTTTGCTCTCTACTGTACATACTAATCCGACGTAACCTCAGTATACATTGACTATTCTCTTCAGGTTGAAAATCCTCCGGACCCCCCTGACAATTACGGCCGAGATTCACCCTACGACAACATACAGCCAAATCAAACAATCAGAAGGTCACCCCCTAGAAGGCGACCCTCAACCTTACCACTGTTTATCGGCAATCATACAAATATCGACGATCTTCTTGGTGACAGTTTAGGCCCAGCCCACAGTCCTGTCAAGTCGCTTGTCCGTAAGCAGGAAATTCTTGAGGGTAAGTCAAAATTATTTTTTTTTTAATTCATCCCCCTACGCGATAATATTCCTTGTGGGTCGTTATAGATTATTTTTTCTTAAGGGGATGATTCTTTCGGAAATTAAGGACCATTTACAGTATCGATATTGTGTCATACACAATCCACCCTTATTATGGGGTAGTATATATGATGCCAGTTCTTCCATCAAATTCAATGGATTTTTTCCCTTTCCTTATGAGATTAGGGAAGGTTTCAATGCCTTTCTCGGAATCTCTATAGGCACAAGGGTGAGGAAATGTTATTGTGAGCGTATCTCAGAGGGCGCGAAGGTATTTCGTAAAATGGACGATAACAAAGGACGAGTTTTGGATACAGAATATATATATATATGCCAACTGCGAATAATCCAACGTGACTTCCATCAGAAATGTCGGTCAGCCATTTTGCCAAATATATTTCCGTTCACAGAGCAGTCCATTATGTTACTGCGTACAACAAATATTTCTGTCAACTTTTCAAAATCCCTCGAGCATATCCATAAAAATGCTAACGATCATCCCCAATTATGATTCAACCAAAAAGAAAGTCTGTTTTGATTTTTTCCCCCAGAATCATCCTCGGACGAAAGTTCCGAGTGCGAGGAAATAGACGCCACCCAGGTTATCATTCACGACAGCACCCCTAAGACGCCAATAATTCAACGTAGAAACAGGTACGTCATTATCACGTAAATTTTGTTTTATCAGCCAAGTGAAAAATAAAAAACCAAAAAACCAACCCTCGAATTTTGTTTTTTTCAGGAACCACGAGAGATCGCAACCGGATGGCTACATTCCGGTGAGTCAATAAAAAAATTACAATAATTTATTTACAATATTCAATACCAAAACAAAATGACGACACTGCCGTTTTTTCTTCCCTTCGTTACGTAGATCATGACCGTAGTCAGTCTACTTGATTAAAAAAAAACTACCCTCTATGTTGAAAAACGTGTTGGCAAGTCCCCCAATCTTTTTTTTGGTCCCCTTTACACCATTCGTGATTCGAGTGCTTTCGGACGAGCACGCTCGACTCTTGATTCCGGCATGCATGAGTCTACCGGATTGTATATGGAAACGTGAGAACAAAAGATGTTCAGGGATTGGGGTACGAGGGGGAGAAGCTCGATGAAAGGATATAGAGATTCGTACTGAAACGCAACTCTGGTACTATCGGTAGAGCATAGATGGCAGTGCTGACGGCGAAACAAGGACAAGGGGATAAAGGACAGAATTGAAGAGTCGGAAGAGCAGAAAGGAAATGGGGTATTATTGTTTTATACAGGGGACGGTGCGAAACAGCCCTGTGGTCCTTTTACTGTCATTCATTTTCTTTTCTATTCCCTTCTTCCGCACGCGTCATTGAGTCAGACACAAAGGAACCCTCTGGGCCGTCCCTTGGACCCCTTCGTGACTTTTTACTCTGGATCATAATAACAGTATGAAAATAACAAATTCGAAGTGAAGGGACAGAGAGGGTATGATGCTCTTGAAGAATTTGCGAATTCGTTAAAAGTCCGCGAGGGTGAATTTTATTATTTTTTGGTTGTTTTGTCAATCTTACGAAAATCTACACCCACTTCTTACAAGGGTACGAAAAGTTTGACGACACCCGGTAGACATTTTTTCAGTCAGCTCCGTTTCATCCCCTCTCATCACGTGTCGCACCCCTCTCCCGTCCACTCTGGAGACTCTATACGCGATTTCATCCCCCTTTTATTCCATTTTTATCGTGGAGGACAAATCGTGACGCGAGGACGCAATATACTCACGTGTACACGTACTCGTGGAATGATATGGTCATGTGTGTCGTGCCTATTCACCCCGCTGATGAAGTACCTACGTGCGGAAGCAGCTGATTATTTTTTCACCGCGCAATTACATCAGCTTGCTGGAGGTGGGGGATTTTTAAAAATATTAAATAACAGTCCCCTGGAGAATGAGGAATTTTTTTTGGCTCTAAAAATAACAGCGATATGGAAATATCGTAACGTTTTTCGGGAGGGGGGTTTGGGTGTAAAAAATGAAAATTTTGGAATTGCCAATAGGTTGAATTGGATCAATCGTTTGACAGGTATTTGCTTATAACGACTTGTAGATGAATTCAAAATTTTTTTTTTAGAAATATGAAATTTCTCAGGGCCAATTGGAAATGGAGCGTGTCGTGGAATGCGGAATTGTTTTATTTATTAAATTTCTTCACTTTGCGAATAATATTCGACGATACTGGTATATACCGTAAACCACTTATCGGATGGTCATTTAAATAATTATACTGTCAGGAATAATGACGATCGAGGTAAAAAGATCGAAAAATATATTCAGAAAATTTCCACCATCGAGGAAAACAATGTGAAATAACATTTGAATTTCCGTTCGATTTCAATAGCATACTTCACTGAAACTCCACTGAATTCCCTAATTTTACGTTCAAATACCAAAGTAAATTATATTTTTAGAAATTCCATCCAACTTGTTTGGCTACGTTAAAAATCAACAATTGAACAAGTGTCTCGTTAGCGATAAGTCCACCGACGATTATAGAAATCAAATGAACATAAAAATAGAATAGATCAAGAAATCCAAAAAATATCACAAATATTTATTTCTAATAATTCCCTATAACCAAGACGCATAGCTACGGAGTTGCCAGTAAAAAGTTTTCAAGAAAATCCCATCTAATCGTATCACCAAGCAAAGGCGTCGAATTGTAACGTGGACTGGTATTGTTGAAAGGGAGTCCATCCGCCAGGCGTCGCGTCGGTCGCTACAGCCGACAGGTGTCCGTGCGATTCAGTGTCGCGGCGGCCGCTCGCGAGGTTAGGCACGTTGCGGGCCGCTCGCAATATTTTTTTTTCTACGCGCTACAGTCGCCAGTCTCTCTCGCGCGTCTCAAGTAAACTAAACGAATCCTATAAAAGTCTGTGCAGTGTTGCTGTTAAATCGCGAGCGTCGGGACGCCCGGCGTCCCAGCCATACTAACGTTCCCGTGTTTACGTGAAGCGGTGAGTTTCCTCGCGCAGACTCCAAAAATCGAAGGCTAATACCGTCATCGGTCAAAAGCGGGTAAATACGTATATATACACTATATATATATACATGCACAGCCGTACAAAATATATACACAGGATACAATATATATAATAGATACGTAAATATATATATATATACAGTGTATATACGTAATTCTATAAATAAATATATATACTCAATCAACTCGCAATACAATTTTACAGTCACTTGCTTCGGTCCTAAATTTTTATTATTATTATTATTATTATCACTATGGTCATCATTATCATCATCCGGGTGCCGGTAGCGTCTTGGCAAGGTGTCTCTGACCGGAACTAACCATTGGGATGAACAAATACTCGTGCACCGTGTAGGCAACTATCAGGTACCTTCGTACCTACCTACCTTCCTACCTTCCTACCAGGAGCCATCTTTCTTGTCCGTTTCTTTTTACCTGCGGTGTGTCTCTCGCTGCCGTTGCTGCGTTCCGTTCGGTTTGGACGAGACTGCACGAAGCGGAGCCGAACGTGTAGCTATGGGAACGAGAGAACGTAGTTAAAATTGATAGTAGAGTCCCGAAGGATGAAGGTGGAATGAAATTTGAAAAAAAAATTTTTATACTTTCTTTTTCGTGGGGGGAGGGTAAGTGGGTATTATTTTTTTACCCCTCCACAGCTTGGGTATTTGGTTTATCTCACGAAATCTCGTTGAACGTTTTGCTTCGTGGAATTTGACGAACTTGTTTTCACTCATCTCATCCCACTTCTCTTCTGCGGAAGGTCGCAACTGCGCAAAAATAATGCGAATATTATGCGCGGTAGTTTTTTTTTTTTTTTTTTTACGAGGATGATGCCTCCCGGGTATAATTTATAAATGGTGTTTTTTTTTGAGGCCTTGCAGGGGTTTGGGGATTTTTTGAAAATTTTTCCGATGAATTTTGTAGGTTGTCTAGAAATTTTGGATCGGCATTTAGATTTTTTTTATTTATGGTCATTCGCTATGTTTTGGAATTTTTAATATTTCTACTTTGGGATTTGGGTTGGTTTTTTGTACTGTCTGTATAATTTATTATACGAAGCAAAGTCTCTTGGGACAAAAATTAATTCGTTATCATTGATAATGCTGATATCGCGTATTACCGATCCTATCGTAAAGATCGATCCAATACTAATAGGTTAGGATCCACGAAAGATCCACGTACCAATGGTGTATCCATCCCGCTAACCAGTCCTGGAAGTCAAGTGACTGTAGAAGGTCCCGCGAGAATATAAAACAGTGAATCGTCCAGTGAACCGGTTCGAATACAACATCGAAGAACCTTGACGCCAGCGTCGCGACGTTCGTACAGTTTTAGAAACCCATAAGCGTTACGCGAGGTTTTCTTTTCGACCGCAGTGCGCCGGTGTCGTGATACGTTAAAAAGTGGTAAAATTTTATTAGAAAACAAAACTTTAGTAAAACCCAAAACTCAAAAAGTTAAAAAAATATTTTTTTAAAAATTTACCCTACAACTTGTTTCACATCGCGCGACACGCTGCGAACGATCAACAAGTGGTATTCGCGCTCGCAGCGCCACTCCAATTAAAAACGACGAACTACGTAACTTCCAGAGATTTTCGAACGGACCAAACATGTCCCTCACGTGTAGAGTTCAATATCTCAACGACGTGGATCCGTTCGCTTATGCCAGCTCTTATCCGGAACCGCCAAGACCTCCAGTGCACACGTTCAGTGCGACCTTGCCGCTGATCAACCAACTTGCGGCTGTTCACCGGCTCCTTAGAGCCCCGCACAGGGTGAGTCGATTCTGAAAAAAATGAAAATTGATTTTTTATCAAAACGAATTTTTTTTACATGTCGAGGAAAAATGGAGGTGAAATTTTTTTAACCACCTCCATCCTATAATGTGTTTACATTTATATGATTTACGTAGGTCTTAAGCGGTGGGACGTGTTTTTGTATTGAATTTTGTACCGAAAGAAGGTACAGTCGCGTGAGAAAATTTAATGATACGCGTATTTCTGTGTTTAATCAGACTCTAGAGTTACGATGGACATATTTAATTTTTTTAAATCATACCAAAAATTTCCTTAGAGTTACCGTACGATTTTTAACGGGTTGTCGGTTATGTATGTCGCGCTAAATAAGTTCGCGCAGACTATTTGTCATTGGCATTTATTTTCGCACGTTTTTTGTCCTGACTGTACTAATGATAATAATTGAATTTTCATTGGGCTCGATACGTCTCGTTGATCTTACCAACAAGGACAGATCACTCGAGCAGGAAACAGCTGATTGTTATTGTCGTATAGATTTGCCTCGTATAATTCGTAGAGTCAAAACAGCGATTGGAAAATTTTGTAAATCTTCCAATATATTGCAGACAGCACAGAGACAGCCTCGCGAGAATTCTAATGTAAATTAGCTCCTTATCACTCCTGTGATTTACAAAGCACGATACGCTCAGTGGGTGACAGTGCAAAAGGGTACCTAACCTATCCTGACAGCAGAACCACGTGTACTTTGTTTACGTCAGAAACCGCCACAGCCGTAAAGTTGTCAATTTTCAGTATTCAAATTTGACAGAGCAAACTCTACCGATAAACCCACAAATAACAAATTTAGTGAGAATCACTCGCGAAACTGCAAAGTCCAGTACAATCAATTGTAAACATGTAAACACATCTTGACAGTTTGACCACGTGGACGTGGAAAAATTGTAACCTACACTGCAACCAATTTGAAACATACAAACGCATGTGTTCCGAAATTTCAAAAAGTTGCCCATAGACGAATTTGTCATATATATATACGCACACACACGATTGACTCACGAGTCGTGACCTTCGACCCCCAAGCCTATTCATGCTTAGTCGAAGTTACCTTTGAACTTACGTCGAACAAACATGCATATACAAAATAAGACAGGAAGACTCGTAAAGCTAAAGGACCTACGTAACATGGCATGACGTAACGTCACGACCTAACCCAATCTTAAGGCTGGCTAAAGCAATCCTTAAAAAAAAGAATTTAATACGTAAATACGAACATGCGTGACACGTATGTCGTGCCATGTCGACAGAATGAATTTCCAAGTGCACGCGATTATTAACGGTTATACCTATTTCGAGAAATTAGCTACCTCGCATGCCTTTCCCTCTTCGGAGCGTCGGACGCGTTCATGAAAGTGAAACGAAAGCCTTAAGGAGGTTTTACGAAACATTTCGTACAATAGCAAATCGTTTGGTAAATCGGCCCGTGAACGGGACATGCCCTTAGGACGAGTTTTCAATGGTTGGCGACCTGGCGAAGCAGTGCGATTTTGAAAGTTGATTTTTTAAAATTATTATTAATATACCACGTATTAACGGGTGTCCGATATATAATAATTGACTGATAATCGATCACGATCAATTAGTCGTTAATCGTATGACGTAGTAATTTTATTTATCAACCGCATGACAACTCGATGGATTATTGCACAGAGTCGTTCTTGGTTGCTCGCGCAAGAAGACTCGGGACTTGTATGACTCGCGTGGATGGGAGTTGGGAGAGAATGCGGCTCAGGTATAAAAAGATATATGTGTGTGTATATATATATATATATATTCCGCCTTCTTTAAAATGCATTCACGTGAAGAGTGGTAGGTTAGGTTAGATATATTTTTCTAGACATTTTTTATTATATATATATATATTGTATATATAACGTCTCGAGTAATACTTGTAAAAAAATAAATATATATATATATATATCTTCATCTTTGGAGATGGCTCTCTCGAGCGAGACGCGAATTAATTCGCCACGCTAACTTGGCCAATGACTTTCCACACTTTTCCACTCTCGCTAGACTATTTAAAACGCGAACACCGCGTGTAGGAATTCGCGGATTCCCGGATACACGTGGTTGAATCGTTATTGAACTTTGATACTTTAGCGCGGTTCTCCGTGTAGAAATTGACAATCATATGGACAGACGCGTTTATTAGCGCGTAACGATTTAATTTAATTTTGAAAAAAATTCCATGTCATTCGTCGAACGCGTCTACTTTTTATCTGTCGTTGCTGCAGACGATTCGATTAATTCTTTTTTTTTTAAATTGATAGCTTTTTTTCTGATAACGTAAATTCACTTCTTTAACTCGAAGGCCATTGCACGGACTCTTTTGTATTATTTAACATTATCTCAGCTCGTACGGAAATCGTTGGCTTTACTTGAAATTTACGAGTCACCTGATAGCCGCTCTCTACGTACCTACCCTAACTTCTTAGTTACCTAGCGAGACGTCTACGTCTGTGTAGGTTGCCGGCGTGGGTCTCTTTGTTGCATTCCGCCATGAATGCAGCATCCACCGTAGACGTGCACAGAGTGGTACGCTCGGGCTCTTAAAAGCTGTCCAGCTTTTCATTCAGAGATTGCCCACGCGTTTTGCAGCGGACGTTACGGGACGGCCGGTACAGTCCGTGGTGAAAAAAAAAATTGGTCAGGAAGGACCGGACAGGATTTTGAGGCGGGAGGGTTATGAATCTTTTTCCTTTTCAATTATAGGAGGGTGGCAAGGGGATTAATTGAGGCAGAGGGAGGAGGCGGATGAGGAAACGATTATATTTTTAACACGACCTTATGGGGGGCAAGGGAAGGCTTGGCTTTCTTATACATATTAATAATGTTGTGATGATCGTTAAGATGGCTGTCTTACGAGAGAGTGCATCGATCCCATGCCGATGTACATGGAACACATATTATTTTTGGACGCTCGATCAATATTCATGAAAGCGATTCGCGCGTACGACGACTTTTATGGGTGGTTGTACAGATTGTTTTGAGGATCTGTGCGCATGCGCGCGCGATGGTTCGTTGTGTCGCTTGAAAATTGGAAGTTACGGGATTTCACGTGATAATTTTTCTTGTTCTTGATGGAGCGAGCGACAGAATCCTCTTGGTGGATATGCGACCTCGTTAATTTTGTTTTTGGGAAATTTGTTTTGTAATTACGAATTTTGATAGCGGAAATAGGACGCTCTGGATCACGCGTGTTTCGAGGACTTGTCAATGTAAAATATAACGAAGAGGTTCAATTAAGGATTTTCAATTTTTTGGACAAAGAATAATTACTCACTGTCTATCATTCGAGTCCATCATCGTTGAAAATAAAAACTGACATCCCGGCGTCGGTGACGTCAGGGCGTCCTCTTTGTGCACCAGATTAGATTCGAGTCTGGCGAATCCGTTATCGTCTCGATTGTAAGTCACATATGATAACCGGCATCCGTATATCACCGATCAGTTAAAGAAGCCCTCTCTCCCATGCGCCGTTGTACGTTCGCAAACAAATTTTCGATAATCGTCAGCAGCGATAATGTATTTTTCAAAAGATTTCACTTCCTACCATCACGATTAATCAGAAAAGCGAAAACGTGTCATGCATCTCGTATTGCAACGGTGGCCCGTATAGTATAGTATATAGTATAGTAGTATACGGTCGGAGAGTGATGTCACGCGGCCGAAAGCAGAGAATGCATGGGGAAGTTCAGGAGGAAGAAGGGAAGGAACAGAGAAATCGGGCCATAGGAATATATCAAGGGAACGGAAACGTACTTCGTGCTGGATAAAAGGTCAGCGGCAAATCTGGTCACGAAACCCGCCAAGTTCTCGTCCCGTGCATGACGGCGGCCATGATGAAGAGAATCGATGCAGTAAAGGTCGGCACTGGGTCAGGAAAACACATGGCTCACAGTAACACGTGCGTCAGCACAGTCCACTATTGCCACGAGTAATACTTGTCACACCAGTGAACACATTTACGCGATATTACTAATTGGACTGTTGTTCTTCGTTGGGAAAACACGAAAAAAATATCCGCCCGGCTCGACAGGGAAAATCGTGTGGCTCGACGCGGGAGACTGACATCGGCGCCGCCTGGCGGCATTTTCGGCAACTATTCCCACTCGCATTTCACGTCTCGTAACTTACGCGATGTCGAAAGTCGCGTTCGGCTTTCGTTCGTCTTCGTCTCGGGTCGATCAAGAGAAAATAGACTACGAGGGCAGAAACAGTGGCAATAAGATAGCAATGATAACTCGTCATTGACGTCACGAGCAATAAAACAGCGACAGGTTTAAATGGCAACGCCAGATGCGCTCTACGCCGGCTGTGAATCTTCGTCGCTTGTTGCTCCTCGCGAAACTATAACCAGTCTTCGCTTTCGTGGCGGATTAAAGCGCCAAGGTCAGACTGTCAAACAGTTTAATTGACGCTGAAAAACCATAATCTTCATCGCCACAATGACCAGCGACTAATAACTGACCAATGTCTGCTTCGCTTTATACACTGCTACGTAGCTGCCTGCTACCGCAAATGCCAGTCCATTAGCAACGCTGAACATGGGTATGACTGTTTTCTTTTATTTGTCATATAATTATTTTTGGCGTAGAATCGCTTTTGTTATTATACTCAACATCTTTCAAAACTTTTTTCATACGTGGATTCTCTCTGCGTATACGGCACAGAGTCCCACGATTAATATCCGTGACTCAATGAATTTTTTAAATATTTTCATAATCATCTCCAAATAGTGTTTACCTGCTTTTTCATCGGAATAATTTTCTTTCCTTGGTTTCACCACGTCACGAGTCAGACGACGTAGGCTTAATTTACCAAGGGGTCAAAATGATGCTGTAACGTGGTTTGTTTATTTAAAAAATCGAAGGCTCAACTTGGGACGTGTTCGTAACACGGGGGGATGACAAGTTGTTGGGTAGTTTCGACAGCTGGGGTATATAGGCTGACGATAA